AGCTGTGCCCCGACCACCTTCGGGACCTCCTGAGTCTGTGTCATGGGTGTATCCTGTAACATTCGCAAAATAAACTTTCAGAATTGGTCGAGATTTGTCTCAGATATTTTGGGCTCACAGAACCATCCTCATTTTTTACTTTATTTTGACTTATTTTCATGAGTCAGACAAATATGCTCTGACCTATCTATCACCTCACAACTGTCTGGAAATGCAGGACAATGAAAGCAGGGAGGGGGCTTCCAGGTCATAGGTACCTAAGAGACAAACAGTTGCATTCTTTTGAGTCTCTGTTTAGCCTCTTACTAAATACACAATTTGCACGTAAGGCAGAGTTAGAGGAATAGTCACTTATCCCTTAATCTAGCTTAGTGAAACAATAGGGCAGAGGAAGCAATCACGTAAGCATTTGTCTCATATGAGCAGAGGGATGACTTTGAGTTCTGTCTGTCCTTCGTCCAGACAGGCTCTACTGTTATGACCTAATCATCTCTCAAAAGCTAAAGAGCATATTCCAAAATTAGAAGGATCTTCAGAACTTGGAATATTCATTTAACAACTGTTTATTGCACACTTACCGGGTGCTGAGCATTGGTATAAAGGAAGAATGTAATCTGAGACACAGCATGCCAGTAAAGGACTCTGATTCAGCATTTTAACCTTAAGACTTTTAGCAAAATGAAATTTCTTCTAAGGCGGCTTTGCACAAAATTCATTCTTCTTCCTAAATTGCTTACTCACTTGCTTTCTTAATATATGAATATTTTACAGAGCCCTGCGGGATACTGATGATACTACAATTTCATAATACCCTATTAAATAATGGTACATCTTATTGATCATCTTTATTTCTTGTCTTTTCTGAGAAATGTTACACTAAATAAGATAGTAAGTAACATAAAAATTACAATTCCAGTTCACTATTTTTCTTATAATAATGAACTTTAATATGAGACAAGTCACAAGACACTAATTTGACTTCTGCTCCACTGATGGCTAGTTGTGTGCCCTTAGGCAATTAACTCAGGAAGCTCCTGTTTCCTTATCAGCGTAATCTGAACACGGACATCTACCACTCAAGGTTGTTATGAGCACTGGAAGAGAAACGCATGTGATGATGCCTATACTAACATTTATCATAAACCCATGTGTGCACACCGGGAAAAGACATTCCAGCAGTTTGGCAGTCATATCCTTAAGGACCCTCCTGCTTTCTCTAAATTCTAACATAAGCAGAAATATGAAGTATTTGTATCATCTAAGGAAGCAGTGTATCCTACTATAAAAATAAAAAATATTATACACAAAAGAATCTAATACAAACTAAATAAATGATAAAGGCTCAAAGGAGTATAAATGTTAGAATGAACCACAGTTCCTGAGGAAGGTAAATAAAAGTACTACAAACAAGGCATTAATAGTAAATTGTTTGATGACGAATATAACTCAATAATAAAAAGGATTAATAAATACAAAAACATGGATAATATGATTTAGATCTGTGTCCCCACTCAAATCTAATGTTGAATTGTAATCCCCAATGCTGGAGGTGGAGCCTAATGGGGGGTAATTGGGTATCACAAGGTAGATTTCTCATGAATGGTTTAGTACCGTCCCCTTCCATCCCCTTGGTACTGTCTTTGCAATATGTGGTAGTTTAGAAGCATTTGTCACTCTCCCCACTCTCTCTTATTCCTGCTCCATGCCTTCTGCCATGACTGGAAGCTTCTTTGAGGCCGCCCCAGAAGCAGATGCCATTATGCTTCCTGTATAGCCTACAGAACCATGAGCCAATTACCCAGTCTCAGGTATTTATAGTAATGCAAGGACAGCCTAATATAATGGATGAATCTCAAATGCATCTTGCTAAACCCCAAAAGACACACCCCAAAGGCTACATATTAGATGACTCAATTGATAAGAAATTCCAGAAAAAGCACACTTATCGGTACAGAAAACAGGTCAGTAGGAGGCAGCAACAGGACATTTTTGAGGTGATGAAGCTACACTGCATCTTTGATTATGATGGATGCATCACTGTGCATTTGTCAAAACCCATAGAAGTGAATCACAAACAGTGAATTGTATTGTAAGATTTTTAAAAAAAGGACACCCTCATAGAATATTTTAATGACATTTAAAAGTATTCACAATGGCTGGGCACGGTGGCTCACGCCTGTAATCCCAGCACTTTGGGAGGCCGAGGTGGGTGGATCACAAGGTCAAGAGATCGAGACCATCCTGGTCAACATGGTGAAACCCCGTCTCTACTAAAACTACAAAAAATTAGCTGGGCATGGTGGCGCGTGCCTGTAATCCCAGCTACTCAGGAGGCTGAGGCAGGAGAATTGCCTGAACCCAGGAGGCGGAGGTTGCGGTGAGCCGAAATCGCGCCATTGCACTCCAGCCTGGGCAACAAGAGTGAAACTCCGTCTCAAAAAAAAAAAGTATTCACAATGGGTTAGTAGAATATAAAGAACGTAACTATAAAACACATATATAGAGAAAACTTCAGGTGGTGGGATTTGATCACAGGACTTTCCCCCCTCCTTTTAAACAATCTAATAGAACTTTAAAATAAATAATATTTTTGAAATTAAAGAGATTAAACTCTTTTTAAACTCTAAAAGATCTCTATATGGAATCTATTATGATAACAGGTTCAGGAGAGCTTTAGATTAGGAGTTCTTAACCTGAGGTTCCTGGAAGCCACAAAACCACTGAAACAATATGAAAAGTATATAATAAATAAACATAACACATTTTGTGGAGAGAGTAGAGCCATAACTTTCAAATAGTCTATAGGCAGCCAGCAACCCCCAGTTACAACTGCTTGGCGCTGAACTATAAGAACATAGGTCTCAAATTAGATTATCCTGAGCTTTAAGATCATTCATCCCTGAAAGCCTTGAACATGTTTTAGGTTTCAGCCGCCTGGTGACACACGCCAGTCTTAGGATATTTAGAAGCAGAAAAACAGAACGAAAGCGCAAATGCAACATTTTTTAAGGGCCAAAGTTCCTAACATTTCAATAATTCGTAAAACAGCCATGGAATGAGTGGGCTCATGTATCTCTGTGGCACATGGCTACACTTTCAATCTTTGGCCAAAACTGTCACATCTCAGGGGAAAAGAAAAACCTCAAAGCGGCTAGTTGAGATCTATCTTCAGAGAAATAAACAGAGGAGATGGGTTTTCAGTCATGGACATGTTTGGTCTACTACATTCTTCATGGTTTGTTCCATCAATTTATCATCACTTCTCTAAGTGGGAACCCAATCCATTTCTTTCAGTTAGCTATTGAAAAACTGCTTTTTACAGGTATTAAAACTGGCTCAATATATGGTGAAAAATAAATAGCAATTTAAAATCAGAAATGAACTGAATGAATTCAGGTTTTAACAAACATATATGAATGAATCCAGTAGAATGTGAAAATCCATTAACCAAGTGCATTCAAAAAGGCAGAAACACTGAACAGTGGGAAAAACAGTCCTACAAATGTAAAAATTATAAACCATGACAGAGTATCTTGCCCAAAAAATGTCACCTTGATACCACTGAATGAAATGTCATTGAATGAACATTTCCAACCAAAACCATTGTTTTCCTTTAGCATTTTGTAAAGAGGCCTCAGTCACTTCTGCTGAAACCACCCCACTCTAATAGAGCAGGATCATTTCCAAGTCACCGGGTTTAAATAAAATGTCCATTTATAAAAAGAAATCAGAGCAAAAAAATTTTTTTTTCTTTTTCCTCCATCCCATTCCCAATATTATAATACCAATGACTCAAGGTAAGTGGAACAAAACAAAAACCTTAAAATTAAAGAGTACTTTGATTTGGAAAATAGGCAGTCTTCAAAAAGTTAATCATCAAGTTCTCATACAACCCAGCAACTACAATCCTAGCCAAGAGAACTGAATACACATTCACAGAAAAACCTGCACATAAATGTTCATAGCAACATTACTTATAATAGTCAAAAAGTGGAAACAATATAAATGTCCTATAAACGGCGACTGGATAAATAAAATGTAGGCTACCCATACAAAGGAAAAAAATTATCTCTTGGTATCTGTTGGGGATTGGTTCTAGGACCCTTTATAGTCATCCCTCAACATCCGTGGTTGGTTAGAATCAAAAAAATTCATGGGGGCTGAAGTCCCTGATATGAAATGGTACAGTATTTGCATATAACCTATGCATATCATCCCATATACTTTGTCATCTCTAGATTACTTATAACACTTAATGTATTATAAATGCTATGTAAACAGTTCTTATACTGTATTGTTTAGGACATAATGACAAGAAGTAGTCTGTGTACATTCAGTACAGATACAATTTTTTTCAACTATTTTTCATTCATGTTTGGTTGAATCCATGGATGAGGGATTCACAGATATATGGAAAGCCAACTGTATGGTCAATGAAAGAAATGGAGTCCCGATACATGCTACAACATGGATGAACCTTGAAATCATTATGTTCAGTGAAAGAAGCCCATTGCAAAGGACCACATATTGTATGAATTGTCTTATATGAAATGCCCGGAATATGCAGATCATGAAGACAGAAGGTAGATTAGTAGTTGCCAAGAATGAGGCGATGTGGGAGTGAAATGGAACCAAAGGGTACTAGGTTCCTTTTGGGGGTGTCAAGATGTTCGGAAATTAGATAGTGGTGCTGGTGGTGGCACAACTTTATGAATATTAAAAGCCACAGAACTTTATGTCTTCAAAGACATCAGAATTGTATGTCTTTTGTAGACATGTATTCAATTCTTTTATTATATACCTGGGATTGTAGTTGCTGGGTTGTATGGTAACTCTATGACTAACTTTTTGAAGACTGCCTGTTTTCCAAAGCAATCTTTAGTTTTACAATATATAAATTATCATGATTTTAAAAATAAAAAATTAAAGGTTACTTAATTTTTAATGTAAAGATGCAAAATGTTTTTACGTTCTACTTTTAACAGAAAGTATTATTAATATCTTTCTTTTTTAGAAAGTATTATTTAATAATGTAAAAATTCTCTTTAATTTCTCTGAAATGGTCAATCCAGTTGTACATTAAGAGAAAAATTAGAAAGGAAGGGAAGAGGAAGAGATAGCATGTTAGCATAAATTTAAAAACTCAGACTTAATAAGTTCATGAACACTTCCTGATTTCAAATCCCATCACTGCCAGAGACACTGAAGAGATTATACTTACTTAAATTTTAAAAAGTGAATATTCAATAAGAGAAAAAAAATCTTTTAACTTTTTGGCTTAAAGCAGGGTAAAGGCTATAACCATAGAAAGTGTTAATACTACCATTACACAAATTCAGATTTGAAAACTGAGACTTAAAGGGGCCAAATAACCTTCTCAATGAAGCAGTTTATAGGGTCGGAAAGAAATCCCAGTATGTTTCACTCCAAAGTCCAAAGTCCAACCTCTTCCCATATGTCATGAAGATCCAACTTCACTTTTGAGAAATCCAAAGGTATGTCAGCTCAGAATTCTGGGTTCAGTTATTGTTATGGCTCGAACATAGCTAGTAGGCATGAAGTTTTGTGCCGAAAGCCTCTAGCCACAATCATTACTGCACACCTTTAACTCCTCACCACAATCATTACTGCACACCTTTAACTCCTCATTTACATTGCTGTTTAGATACATTCTGTAGCCTTAAAAGAAACATTTCATGAGTTACAGCCCTGGGTGTCAATCAACCTCCAGAAAATTCTTTGTTGGGGACTCCATTCTTGATACTGGTCTCATGAAAACTGGTCATGTGAGTAACAAACAGAGCTTAAAAGAAGAGGTAGGACAGACTAGAAATCGGACACTATGAAAATCCGATGTTATGCCTGAGTGGCATCTTTCTACAACAAAGAACAATGCAGTCCTTTCACTATTCTGTCGAGTATTCATGAAGTTATCCGCAAGTTGTACCGGCTGTTTAAATTATTTCATAAATGCCCACAGACAGTTTTGCTCTGGCTCTTTCAGAATCCAACATTACTGATTATATTTTAAGATATTTAATACATTTCCATAATGACTTTTTTAATACCCTAGATATCAAAATCCCTATACATAGGTGGTAAAACATTTTGGTTATTCCCAATGAAATATTTGTGCCTTTCAGATATTTGTGCTGACTGGCCTATCTTTCCTTTTGTTTATAATTCTGATAGGAGCCACAGAGGAAAAATTTCTTAGAGAAGCTGCTTATTAGCAAGTTAAATATTTAAGACTACAGCATGTTTATGAGCTTCCAGTTTATTCAGAGCAAAGGGATGCTTTCTGAAGTCTTTATTTGTAGACACACTCCAACAGAACCCCAGAATGTTCACAAAACTACAAAATCTGTACTCTAGGATGCAGGGTAAAGTATCTCAGGAGACATATGTAGGCTCATATATACTGCTTACAGTTTTAGTCTTCGTAATAAATTCCATAATGAAAAGTTAGCTACACATATGGAAGCTAAACTTTAAATCATGTAAATATCTTCTAATATAAATCTTAGAAAGAATGTGCTTGTCTCTCTTGGTCTAGAAATCTAGGATTACGATTAGCTTGTGCATTAAATTCATGCAACAAATATTTACTGAATACTTACTATGCATGATGGACACATGGTAAGCGACTCTGGGGGATACAAAGAAAAACCAAATCTGTTCCCTGCTCTAAAAATGCTTCCATACAAACACAGTCAATAACATAGGGGCATGTATTATTCTAAATGAGGGAGGATGTTCTACAGGAGAAACTACACAATTAAAGTACTAGGGAGGCGAGTTTAACAGAAGGCTAGTTCTGGCACTGGGACAGGGTGGAAGTGGTGGCAGATATTAGGCAAGACTTCATGAAGGAGATGCCATTTCAATTATGCTCAGGGTAAACGGGGATTGGAACATGTAGAAGTGATGAGGAGGGCATTTAAGTGATGGCACAGCATAAACAAAGACACAGGACACGAACTGTGTAGACACATACAAGGTAGATACTAGAAACATAACTAGTGAAGGTACCAAGTCCCTCTTCTTTTAAGCAGAGACAGTCCCTTCCCAGAGTACACAGCTTGGGAAGCAGGATTTTAACTCCCACAGGCTCTCTCAACCAGGTACTATTCCACTGCTAACCTGATAACCATATGGTGCTGGTAGTTACTTCTGCTAAATCTTGGGTCCACCCCTCCAGTTGTGCAACTTTAGGTAAATCACAACCTTACTGTACCAGAGATTCATTATCTGGAATAAAACAGCATCAATAACTAAGTAATGACTCTAAAGCCTAATGAGAAAATAAATATAAAGTGTCTTATACTAAGCTTGGCTAATGTAGGCACTCAATCAGTGACAGCAGAAGCAGTTGTTTATGTCAGCAGAAGAAGGCAGAGGACTTTAAATGTTCTAGAAAGATGGACTAGACCTGGAATTCTGAGCTCACATATCTTTGGATTTCTTAGTAGTCAAAATATCTATACTAGGGGGCCATTATTTTAGCCAGGTATGTTAGGCCATTCTTGCATTGCCATAAAGAAATACCTGAGACTGGGTAATTTCTAAGAAAAGGGATTTAATTGGCTGACAGTTCTGCAGGCTATACAGGAAGCATTGCACTGGATCTGCTCAGCTTCCAGTGAGGCCTCAGGAAGCTTAACAATCACAGTGGAAGACAAAGGGAGAGCCAGTGTCTCACATGGCAAGAAGAAGAGATGGAGTTTCACTCTTCCTGTCCAGGCTGGAGTGCAATGGCACAATCTCAGCTCACTGCTATCTCCCCATCCCGGGTCCAAGTGATTCTCCTGCCTCAGCCTCCCAAGTAGCTTAGATTACAGGCAGGTGTCACCATGCCCAGCTAATTTTTTTGTATTTAGTAGAGATGGGGTTTAGTAGAGATGCCTGGCATGGTACTACATATTGCTAAACAGCCAGGTCTCATGAAAACTCACTGACTATTACAAGGACAGTGCCAAGCCATGAGAGATCTGCCCCTGTGTCCCAAACACCTCCCACAGCCCCCACCTCCAACATTGGCAATTACAATTCAATATGAGATGGGGTGGAGACATATATTCGAACTACATCACCAGGTAAAGGTAAAGTTTAGGATGACAAAATAATTCTAATATTGCTGTGCATGTCTTTATGTTGATACAAAGGTACCAACAATCATAGGAACAGATTTCCTTTTATTCTAATATTATCTTTTACTATTTTATTTTCTTTTTACAAAAAAAAGTGGTAACCGTGCATGCTTTTAAATGTTCCTAATGTGTAAATGTAAACAGGTGGCGACACCATATATCTCCATTTCTTTTGAAATTCAGAAGTATGGGAACTAGTATATTCAATATATTTCTGAGATCTCTGTAATTGGTTTTAAAATCTATCTACAGGCATCACAGATTTCATCCCAAGATTATAATGTTAAGAAATGCCAATTGGAAAAAATCAAAACAATTTATAACTTTACGCAGGGGGGAGGAACAAAAAACAATAAAGATAGTTCCAGAACAATACTGCAGAGAAAAGGGATTGATATAAACCAGTGCATTTGTAGGATCAGAAACTAGAGGCAGTTGAAAAGTGAGAAAGTAAGAATAAATTAGAGATTGAGAAACATCAGGGGACGGGAAGCTGCAGCTGAAATTCTGAACTTTTTTGTGCTCAATGAGCACGTGAGAATACTAGGATTTCTGGTGGCTTCCGTGAAGAGACTCATACACACAGTTCATATTTTGTATGACTCCCACGGAAACGTGTACACATTAATTAACTGGCATGCTGTTTCTTCTATTAATCTGCCTTTTGTCAGCTGACTTTCAATAAACCCAGAAGGCAAAGGGGAAGTTCTCTATTTGCCCCTACACTTTTGGCACCGTGAGAAGGATGCCGAAGTCCTTCTGCTCTTCTGGAAGCCACATTCAAGGGAACCTAGAGGCTGTCAAGCGAGCAAGAGGATGAGTGTTTCTTACCAGTCAGGCTCCCAGTCTCTGTATATGGAATCTGGTTGAGTGGGTGGTAAAAATCTCTACTTATCTTTTTTTTTCCTCTCCAAATTTTTGATTAATGGGAGAAAATTATTTGTATGACCTGACTTAGGTGTAGAAATCCTGGGTGTATTTTCAACACAAATACTCATATTTTCTGAACCTTTTTCTCCCAGAAATAGCCTTTTTTCTGCTCTTTCTGTGTCATTTGTTACAAAGCGTCCCTCTTATTTTACAGCCTTGAGAGCTTGCTTTGTGACAAACGGGAATACCTGCTCTTGGTTTTCACCATCTAGGGGACATGATTTTCGGGTCATGTCTGGTGGCCAGCCTGAAAAGATTGGGAACCTGAGACATGTAACATATTAAGCAGCCTATTCATCGTTCTGAATGTGTCACGCTCTCAGGAGAGTTTATCTTCAGTCCCATCCATAATGGGCTTTTGTCACCTCGATTCTTGCTGTCTGGTTAGTCCTGGGAAGGTCCAATCCCAGAACGGCCTACTCAGTGTCTGTGACAGGGCAGCCCTTCACAAATTTGTGGGATACTGGAGGCACTGTATGCACAAATGCTATCCTTGACTTCTGTGGCAACAAGAATTGTTTTCTTTCTTTGCCTATGTCAGGGAGTGAATTTTTTGGAGGATCATGGGCACTATCTCCTCTATACCCTGTCTAGAAACAGCTTTTGCTTATATAGTTAAATTTTATCCTAAACTTTATGGGCTTTCCATGAAGAGGCTTACTGGACTGAGTTGCTACTAGAATAATACACCATTGGAAATCCTGATTGTCAGCAGCTGGTAGATGGCTCCTTTGCATTAGAAAGACTTCTGTATTTGAAAAAGACTTTGGAGAACTCACATTCCAAGCAGTTGCCTTATTTGTATTTATGGGAGGATCCAACTGAAAGAAAGACATATATTAGTGCCATGGCTAGCCTTAGATTGTCTCTTAAAAAGAAAAAAGAAAGCAGAGATCAGATTTAAAATAAAGTTAAAATCCTATGTATGTTCAAACTGCCTGCCTCGGGTTCCCTGCAGGATTTGTAAAAAAAAAGGTCACTCCACCTTGTAGTCTAGTAGTTAAAATTCTACACTTTCACTTTGGCAGCCTAAAAGTCTGATTCCTGCCAAGGAACCAGTCCCTTGGAGACGTAAATCCTTTAACACAAAAGGAAAGAAAAAATAAACATTTATTTTTAAAATGGGTTTGATATTTGTGTGAGTCAACTTTTTGGGTACCCATTTGTTATTGATCCTTTTCCCTTCCATGGACAGCTTTTGACTTCCTATCTCACTAACTGCCTTCTTTAATCTTCCATCTATGGGGCACACAGTCGTCAGGCCTTTGTGTGTAGAAAGTCAGCTGGAAAGGTGAGACCCTAGAGAATATCGCCAAGCAGAAACATGGGTTGTCCCCTGCTTGCAGCTAGTGAAACTCTGCTTTCTTTGAGCTGTCTTTGGAGGTGGTCCTGGATCTTGTGAGGCCTGTGTTGCGCTTCTTTGGAGATAATTTGTGCTTCCTTGGTTAAGTCATAAAAGATTTATTCGTTTTGGTCCTGAGACACTTGGAAGGTACCTTCAGTTTAAAGAAGTTAAAAAGCCAGGAATAATTAGCTGTTTGAGCTAAAGTCTAATAAATTTTTTAAAAAGCTTTTTAAAGAGCTCTATGGTCAGAAGTCAGTTTAATTAAAAGCTTATATTTGGATTACCATCTTTTATCTTTAAAAAAGTCTTTCTACTTTTTCTTAATGGATCCTGCTCCCTCCCCTGGCCCCCCACCCAAGTCGACTGCAACACTTAGTTTCTCAGTCTTCTAGTCCAGGCCAGACAATGTCACTATCATGTAAGGATTATGTGTGTACCAAGCATTCAGTACAAGGAAGGCACTCCATAAAAATTATCTTTCTTTCCCATCAGAGAAGCAACTAAGAAAAGATATGAGGATGGATTTATAATAGCAAACTGGTTTGAATTCCTCTAAATACGCATCAGTCATAGATGATTAGGATTTCAAACAGAATTCAGTGACAATCTCGTAAAGACCAGGAATGCTCCTGCTTTAACAATATACTCTAGACTGTTTTCTACTACAGTACCAATCAGACAACTTCGAACTCTAAAGCATGTATGGGTTAGCATCCTGTGCTAAAGGAGACTGGCAACTAAACAGATACCAGTATATGCATTTATCATCACAGTAACACATCACAGAAAATGTGCCTAAACCAGTTCCTTCCATGATAAGCCTACAGAGTGCAGTTAAAATATGCATTGGCAGGAAGAAAATAAAAAACATGTGAAGAACTTCTGTTTTTAAAACATCACCAGTTCTAAATACCATCAAGGGCTGCAGATACATGTAATGAGGGATGTACAAGCATGCTTGTTCACGTGTTCTGCCTTTTAAATGTGCAGGTGTCCACTGTCAGTACTCTTTAGAATATATAATAACTAGCAAGAATTGTTCTCTACAGTTCTCAGGAGCTGTGTTCTTACGCCTATGATCTAAGATGGTTAATATAGTCACAGCAAAGTGGGTCTCCTACTAAAGTCATTTTCAATTAATTTGCATCTTAAAGTTCTGAGTCACTTCCTCGGAACGATTAAATTTGGGTGGCATGATGTATGCAAACATTCCAGTCCTGCTCAGTAAATAGAGAATTGCCACAAAGAGGAAGTTGATATAACTTTCTTTCTGGCATAAATGGTTTATTTCAAATCATAAAGCTATCACTACAAAGGAGGAAAACAATTTAGTATTCTGGGCAGCAGGCTAATAACTTTTCATTAGTCTGAAAACACTTTACTGAATTATTGAAAGCAGGACAATTAGAACAGAAGCATCATACATAGTTGGTATCCGGGCATCTATGCTATTAAAATAGGACTTGTGATCTTTCCTCTGCTATTAGCTCTGTATTAAACAGAACTACTGAACTTTGGGTTAAAATTCCTCAAATATTTTTGGTGACAATTACTAAAGACTAGTGCTACCAACAGTATTATTAAGTGAGCTTGTATTATTAGTTATATCTTTCAAAAATCCCAGTGAAGATATAGAGAAGGAACCTCCAACCTGGTACCTCCACTGCTAAAACATGCAAAACGTATTATTCTCATGCTCTCCTTTTTTAATCAAGAAAAGGCAATTAACTACTTCATAATTAACATCTGATCATTAGATTTTCATAAAATTCACTTGTGGAGCGAAAACCTTTAAGAGCTGCAATTCTCTAATCCATCTCTTTACAGTTTGATGCACAGTCATTTGTAAGTGGATTTCAATAGGGCAACATTTAATATAATCAATTTTCCATTCAGCAAGACAAAATCAAAGAAAATGGTTTGCACAGTAGACATATACTTTGGGGAGATGAATACCTGGGAATCACAGCTAACTTATCCACTGCATACATTTGCATGAAATTTCTATTTTCTATTACTTGCTCTGTTTGGAAAAAAAATTACCTAATCTTGCATATCAATCTCTAATATTCTGTTTACAATCAATGCTCCCCTTGTAAGGGACTGACAAAAACAATTTTCATACATCGTTGAGGTGTTGGACTCAGATTAAATCACCTATCCACATGTAATTATTTAAAGATAAATAGCTGAGACTACAATCTCCGGTGATGACATATTTGAAAGACAGTTTATTTTGTGTAGTTTTTTTTTAAGAGGTACTTCCCCCCCCAACCAAAAAAATAAATAAATAAGGAAAATAAACTGCCATAAGGAAAACACAAACATGGTCCATATTCTAAAGGTTTAGGC